GCCCCCTCCCCGCGTGATGCGCCGCGCCGCGCCGCGCCGGGGCGGAGCCGAGCCCAGCAGAGCCGGGCCGGGCCGAGCCGAGCGGGGGCGGCCGCTGGGAGAGGCCGGGCGCCTCGGGGCGCGGCAGCCGCCGGGACGGAGGGAGAGCCAGCGCAGCGCAGCGCGCCTCGCTCCTGGGCGGCCCGCCGTGGCCGAGCGCCTGGCTGCTCGGCGCGGGCGCGGTCGGAGAGAAGCGCGCTTGGGAGCTCGCCTACCGCCGCTCCGGGCTCCAGGTGCGGGACGCGAACCATCGTCGGGACGCGTCCCTGGCGGCGAAACCGACCGAGCCGAGGCCGCCCCACCTGGCGCGTCCCGGCGAAGGCCGCCTTGCCAGGGCGAGCCGCGGGCGGAGGAGGAGCAGAGGCCCCGCGGGGAGCGCGCCGTGGCAGGGGAACCCGCGGCCTTGCGGGGCCAGGGGCCGGGCGAGCGCCGGCTCAACCCCGCGAAATAGTGGGATTCGCACCGTCGACGGTCCCTTTTTAAAAACGCGGCGTTTCACGTTCTGGCGGCGCTCGTTTTCGGGCAATTCCTGATGCGAGCCTCTGGGCCGATCGGTGGGTAAGGCTGGTGATTTGTTGGCCTTTTATTCTGATGCGCTCTGAGTCGGGGGTAAAAAGGCTGCTCCCTGTTGAATTATTTTCTGGGTGAGGCCTGGGTGACCCACAGCAGCGGGAAGGCAGGGACAGACTGGCATCGCTTCTCTTGCAGGACTGAGGGGAAGAAGGGGGCGCGCTTCAGGGGCCGCGGAAGAGCAGGAGTCCCCTGGGGCCTCGCCGTCATTTGAATGTCATCTGTAAGCGAATAATTCAGGCTAACACGAATCTCCCATCAGCGGTTCATTGGATTATTTACATTGTAACAATGAACAGTAACTTGGGCAGCAGGCGCAAGGTTATAAAGACCCAACTTTCAGCCTAAATTGTTTAATTAAACAATGACCGTATAGTGTAAGATCGATTTTGCTCTTCAAAATGCTTTATAGTACCCAGAGAATTGTGTACCGAGCGGGGTATTTTATTGATTATCTGTCCTGTTCTTAAAAACAATCCAGTCACGCCAGATTGCGTGAAATGGATCGTTTGCCTTGGTCGCTCGCCACCTCCGGCTTACCAGATTTTAAGGCCTTTTGCCTGGCAAAAGGTTTTCAGCAATAGCTCATTGCCTGACACAAGAAGCCCTTCCGGTATCTTGTGCTCCTTCGTAGGCCGGGAAGCGGCAAACAGACGAGTCATTAATTCCTTACTATTTTAACCAGTAGTTTCTCCCAGGAATGGCTTTCTAAGTGCCAGGGTGGGTGAATTTGGAATAGCTTCGTTTGTGAAGGGGTCTAATCTCTGCTCATGCCACTCCCCAAAAGCAGCAAGGTCCCGCATGGCCCCGCCGCCTTCGCATGTCCTAGCTGACACCTCACACCCCATGTGGCACAACGGGGAATCGGGAGAGTCAGAAGGGAGAGGGGCCTCGGGGTTGGGTGCCAGTCGGGAAAACTTTCCAAAGACGTTTCCCTGGTATGAGTTGAGACTGATCTTTAGGGGGCCTGTGCCATGAATCTTGCCAGACACCCACCTTCACTTCCAAATTCATACTGCTCCAGGCCCTTGCAGTGACCCCACGGAGGTGCTTCCATTTTTGTGTGTGAAGATTTATCCCTCTAACTTTTGCCGCTGTGCAGGGGTGCATTCTCATCTGTCCCCGGGCCGGGGGCAATGGAGGCGACTGCATTCAGGGGTTCAGGCTGCCTCCGTCGGGGGGCCAAACCCTCTTCCGTCCTGAGCGTCGCGTTCCATGCTGGAGGGCCAAAGCAGAAGCGGGGGGGGGGGGGGCACATAAGCCACCGAAACACAGGAAAAACGTTGGTGGTTCAAGGGACAGCTGCTGCCTCCTCCGCAGAGCGCCGCCTCGTGGGGTTTCATGCCCGGAGCATGACCTGACCGAGGCAAGGGGTCAGGGCGCCCTTGCGAGGCCTGCAGGGTAACGAGGCCTCCTCCGAGAGTCCCGCTTTGCAGGTGGCACTCGTGTTTTCCGGTGTAAAAACGAGTCTGTTCCCAGGGCGTGATGCCAGAGAGCTACGCCGGTTGAATATGCTTCCTGTCTCCCCAGGGGATGCGGGGATGTCGGAATCGCTGCCAGGCTCCTTGGTACCCTTGGGTCGCGATTCCTAGGATCCTCTGGGAGAGGCCCTGGCACGTCGCTGGGCACGGACTGACGGGAGGGAGTCGGATGGGCGTGTGGGGCTCTGGGGCAGAGACTGGGTGCAGTCGGCGCCTGAGGCACCCCCTCTGGAACAAAGGGCGCTGGCAAGCGGGACGTCCAGCTGCTGCCCCTCCAGCGGTCCAGGCAGGCGGGCGCCTGCAGTGGCCTGGAGCGCACGGGTGGGCCTCCATCACCCTCCACCTGCGTTCCTCGAGGGAGGCCTTGCCGCCTGGCGAGCCCCCTTCTCCCTCGGCACTGGGAGGGCCGCAGCTGAAGCTGGAACAGGAGGACCGGGGTGGGGGGGGGCAGGTTTGGTCACCCCGCTAAACAGAAAGTCTGGTTGCTTGGCCTCGCAAGTCCCGCTGCTGCCGCACTGGCCAAGGCTGGGCTGCCGACCGGGAGCCAAAGACCGCGCTGGGTGGCCTTTGGCCAGGAAAGCGGCAGCGGTCGGAACGCTCGCTCCTCCTCGCCCATTCTGTGCGTGGGCCTCCCTGTGCTGCCTTCCTGACCATGTGCATCCATATTCCATCCCGCTCGGCACACTCTAAGCCGCTCATCTGCTTTGTCCCCCGTGGGGGTGTTTCTCAAGTTCCCGTAAATTGAAGGCGAAGTCCCTTGGCTGGACCAGGTCCCCCCCGGAGGTTAAAGCAGGAGGAAAGGGGCAGCTTCAGCTCGTGCCCCGTTAGTACCTTGGTGTCCTCTCTTGGGTGGTGGCCGTTTATTCCTATGGGGCAGTTTGAGGCACAGCAGGGGGCTGTTGTCCCCTCCTGCCTCGGAGAGTCGAGGCCTGGCCTTTGCTAACAAGGGCCCCGACCGTTAGACGCGGCTTGTCCCCGGCACCTGCCCGGCTTTCTGCGCTGCACGCACCATCTCCGGCGTTTCGCTGGCGGGCCATCATTTGCCAGCCGGCCCGGCTCCAGAAGGGCGCTAACCTTCCCCGGAATGAGAGGCCTCGCAAACAAGCTGTCGCTCACAATTAAGCATCCCGCCATCACCTTTGTTCTGCAAGCGTCCTCGGCAGCGGCCCCAAGAAAGGCTCTGGTGGCGTCGTCGAGCCGATCGCTTGCCCTGCGCATGGAACTCTGGTCCACGGAAGGTGCCTGAAGACCTAAGAGGGCACGGTGCAGCTTCCCACCGAATTCGGACAAACAGCTGCCGTCCCTTCTTTCTACTTGCTCTTGCGTCACACACCCAAAGCAAGCCAGGGCCAGAAGCCACGGGTGGCCATGAGGTCTGGTGGAAGTCAGTTCCGTGGCTCAGGTCTTCTCTGTCCTTGCTCTGACGCACCCGGCACCCCCCTCCGGGCCATGGCTTGTTTCTGCCCCCCTGCAAGCAAAGCCAACTCACACCGGGGGCGAAGGCTGGCCGGCTGGCTCTGCTCACACGCGCCAAGCACTGTGCCGTCGGTGTGAGTGTGAGGCCCCCCTGCCCCCCAGAGCGCTCGCAGAGGTGGCTTCTTGCGTGTGCCACCCCCACCCCAGCCCCACACGCTCGGCAGGCGCGAGGGCCCGCATTCTCCCGTGTCCTGCGCAGTGTGGGGCAGCCCGTTGATGCGCCCGCCCACCTGCGAAGGCGCCGCCACGTGGCTGCAGCGCCACCTGCAGGCCCTCCGTGCGCCTTCCTGCCCTCAGGTTTGCTTTCACCTGCAGCCACAATCTGGGGGGGGGGGGCGGTTCTAGCCCCCTGTGGGGGATTCCTTTCTTTATGGATCACATGGATGCCTTGCCGATCCTCCAGGACGCCCAAAGCCGCACGGTGGAGAACGGCAGACCTGAGCCCTGATGTCCCGCCGGTTCCCAGCCCCAGCCCTCCCGCACCTGGTGCCTCTGTGGTCTTGGGACCACAAGGCCCATCACCCCGAGCCAGCACGTGTCATTGCCTTTGCTGTCCAGGCAAACGGGAGTTGTTGCCGTGTGGATGTCTCCCCCCCCACACACACACTCGGGCTGTGTGCACCCGTCTCCCGTCTTTTTGCTTTTCATTCATAGGTCCTGAGAGAGACGGCATTTCTGTCAACTGGGGTCAAAGGCAGGGAGTTGGTCTTCTCGGTCAAGAACACGCGGGTGGAGGGACGTTCACACAGCCAAGGTGAAGGAGTTTGCCATCACGATACATTTTGACGAGCGACAATACAAGCAATAATAATAATAATAACAACAACAACAACTTTTCTTTTAAGGAAATCACCATACAGCCGTTCCGGACCCCTGGCACATTTAGGGTGGTACTGTTGACCCAGGCTGGTAGCAGTGGCTCTTCTGGAAAAGCTTTTTCCTGTGTGGAGATGCTGCCGAGGCTGAACCGGGGTCCTTCTGCATGCAAAGCGGGTGTGCTTCCCGTGAGCTACCAGCCTTTCACCTACAAATAAAGCTTCTAGTCCTCATGGCGCTCATCTACGCAGGGACACAGGAAGGCCCGAGCTTTGCCTAGCTGAGCGTTGCCCACCCCACCTGGCAGCAGGGCTTGCCAGGATTCCAGGCAGGGGACATTCCAAGCCCCTGAGGAATTCTGGGGGACGCACACTGCCCATACACCCCCAAGCGTCTGCTCACAGCCGGAAGGCCTGGCACCGTGGTTTTTTTTTTTTTAAGTGGGCAGCGGGGAGCAGTCAAGAGTCTCCGGCAGCAGATTTCTTCCCTCCGGATCACCTCCTGCCCTGCCCTCCCCTGGGATTGTGACACGCTCAATGGCTATGGATCGGGGCCTGCCCATCCCCCAGTCCGAGGGCTGGCGGGGAATGGCGGGCACAGACGGGGCGTTTGGGGAAGGGGTGGTGAGGAAGGGCCGCTTGGCAGGCGACGAGGAAGGAGAATGCCGCTGCAGGCCCCTGAGCCAGCTAATAAAGGCCCTTCTGTCACCCCCTCCTCGTAAATGGCTCTTTTCCCATCCTCGGGAGGTTTTCAGAGGATCCTGCATGACAAGGCACACGTCCCGGTGGGAATGTGACTCTTCCAGGGCGGAAAACAAGAGGAGTGCAGACGAGAAGCAAGCCCGCCACTCACTCTCCGCTGGGGATTGCCGGATTTCCCCGCCACGTACACAGGATCGTGCCCTTGGCCTGCGTGTGAATTTGGGCAAGGGCTCACTTCCTGCGTGAACAGGCACCTGCCGAAGAATCGCCTCGACAGACAAGGGCGATGCTCCGCTGAATTCAGCCGGCAGGTCGGCTGAACCGGGTCCGGGAGTTTAGGGTCTCACCGCGGTGTTTGGGGAACGCCTCATCTCTTCCACTCTCATCTTGGGGTTCGCCAGCACCAGGCTGGCCTCCAGGTTTGGCGAGGAGACCATTGCTCTCCGAAAAGGCAGCTGGACCAGCAGGCGTGGAGGGAGGGAGGGGGCGTGGGGGCAAAAGGGGAGGACCAGGGCGGGGGAGCAGCCCCCCGGGGCCTCCGTCGGGGCAAAACAGAAGGGGAAAGAGCGGGGCGGGGGGCTCCTCTCCTCGCTTTCTCCCCCCGGGCCCACGCGCAGCCGGGAAGGGGCGAGGGCGCCTGGGGCGCGCGGGCGGCGGCGGCGAGGCAAGCCCGGCCGCGCCCGTCCTCTTAGCGGGCGGCCGCCGCCGCCGCGTCCAGGCAACAAGCCGGGGCGGCGGCGGGGCCAGAACGGTTCCGGGGCGCGGCGGCGGCGGGAGCATGCTCAGTTCGTTCCCCGCCGCGGCCGCGGGAGCAGGAGCAGGTGCGGCGGCGGCGGCGCGGCGGGGGAGCGACCGGCCGCGGCCCGGTGCCGGCCCTATGGAGACGCCGCCGCCCGGTGCCGCCGCCTGCTGGCACGGAGGCGAGGACGGCG